CCAGGCCCACCCCCTCATCATTGTGGGGCTGGGCCCCGCACTTCTGTCCCCCCACTCCGCCTACTGCTGTAACAAGGCCAGATTAGGCTGGGCCCTGTGCACCCCCCCCCGGCACAGCCATTGTAGGGCCAGGCTGGGCCCGGTAAGGCCCCCCAGTCCCTGCCCACTGCCATTTTGGGGCTGGGGCTGGGCTTGCCCCACTGCCGATGCAGGGCTAGGTCAGGCCAGGCTGGGCTGGGCCAGTCCCAGCGTGATGCCCCCACCACCCTGCCTGCCCTCCCCACCCTTCCTGCTGCCGTTTTGGGTCTGGGTCCACTTCCCCCACCCCCCGTCCACCTGGCCTGCATCTGTCTGCCTCCCTTCCCCATGAATGACGGGTGGGAGGTGGGGAGCATGGCTGGAACGCCACCACCCAGTACCCTGTGCCACCGCTGCATCCAAGGAGGAGGGGTGGGGGGCGAGACCAGGGCTGCTGGCCTCATCCTCCACTCTGTCCACTCCATCACCACTGGCTCCTGGGAGCTGTGCTGGCCTTGCCCTCCTGTTCCTTCCCCTCTGTTCCTACTGTTATGGCAGCATCAGGGCCTGCTCTTCCCCCACACCACAGTGGGCCTGGGCCCATTCCCTGCCTCCCTCGTGCCACCGCCATGGGTCCAACACTGTTCCCCACCCCCTTTACACTGTCCTCTCTCCCCCGTCTCCTCTGTCCCTGTTGTCCCTGCTGTCATGTTGGTGGTCCACTGTGTTGCCGCCACCACCTGCAGTCCAAACACTCTGGGAGCACTCTGATTGGCTGCCAAGACAGCCAGTCAGACTGCAAATAAAGTGTTATGGACAGACAGACAGACAGAGAGACAGACTATGGCTTTTATAATATTAGAATAGATATATATATATATATATAGATATAGTTATATGTACATGTATGTATATGTGTAAAGTTCATGGTTATAAGTTTTATATTATGTTGTATCATTAAACCTGTAAATACTTAAGTATCACTGGGTTCTTGGTCTCTGCTCTGCTCTGTAGGAAAAGGAGATGAGCTGGCTTACAGCTAGGTAGCCACACTCCCACAACATACACGTACCCAGTGACATCCCTTCAATTGGAGAAGGGGTACCTTCCACGGACCACCCAGATTACACTTGCAGTGCTTTAATCGTGAACCTGTTTAGAGAAGGTCCTGCAGGGTACTCAGCTATATGAGATCTTAAGTTTCCTTCCAGCCTTACATTTCCATGATTCTAGCAGCATCAGCTTTTGGCCCAGCAAAGAAGTCCCCAGTTTTCTGAACTCTGGTATCAGTTTATCAGACAAGAGAACAAATTTTGAGTGAATTTCAAAGGAATCCAAGCTGGGATAACATCCCTTTTATCCTCCTTCTCAGTAGGCACACTACTCCAATGTAGACTCACTCTGGCCTCATTCAACTGCACCCCTTTTTGCCCCCAGACATGCTCACAGCCCAGCTGAATTTGGCCCATGGGATCCATGCTGGTGTGAAGATCTGTGGTTTCAGTTGTTCTGGGGATTTTCAAATCTCTCTCCTCATCAAGAAACTGTGTCCTTCCCTTCCTCTGTCTCAGCCTATCTAACTCAACTCTCTGCTTGGACAACTTGGCATTCAAGAAATTGAATGCAACCAAGACTGAATTCCTAATTGTATTGTCCCAAATATTCTACTCCATACATGAAGTTTAAGTCCTACCTCTAATCCTCCCTTCATTGACTTCATCACAACCAAATCTCTTCAGGCCTTTGTTATATCCTGTCTTAGTTATCAGCCAGTCCTTCTCTGGTCTCCTAGATATTGCTTCTTTCAATCCATATGAAATGCTGTCAGTAAGAGCAGAATTCTATTCCACTTTGTGAGCCCAAGTGGCAGTTCTCCAGTTGGTCTGCAATTCCATTTCCCTGCATTATGGACGCATAAGTGCACACATGAATAGTAGCCAGGCAGGTATGCAGCTATGTATGCATGCATATGGGTACAAGACCTAGACATTATACTTGGCAAAAGCTTATGGGAGAAGGGACTACCCCACTATTGTTCCTAGTAGCTGAGTTGTTATGGCACTTACACCTGAAGCAAGGCACCTTGGTTCTAGCCCAAACTGAGTTTGAGCCTGTATCTGTTTGGCTTTCCAGCACAGTGCTCTAACCACCAGGCTATTGGTCAAATAGTAGAGACTGCCTGCTTTTGAGGTTGGCTCTTTAGTCAGCCAAGAGAGGTAGCTGTGCGACAAAGAAGAAAAGAACAAATTGGAGGGTGTGGGGTTCAGTGAGGTGGATGGTGCTGTGGCAAGACACAGGATGTGGGTTCTAGCCTGAACCTTTTTTCCCAGTGGATCAGAAACTTCCCCACTGGACACAGGGGATTCAGCTCCAAGAGAAAGGATGGTAAGGTAATTAAGTGCTGCCTAAACCTGTAGCAAAGTAGTTAAGAGAGATGCTAGTTCAAATCTCCTCCCAACTGAGTTTAGATTTGGGCAGGTACCCAAACCAGTTACCTATTGGCATAGAAACATGGGGGCCCCCTTGTCCTAATTTTTTCTAGACTTATGCTCAAGTATGCATGCACGTAGCTGTGTACCTACTGGTTAGTACATAAGCTACTGCATGTGCTCAGTAGTTGCGTAGATGCTTGTACATGCATGCTACATGCATAACGGAATCATAAACTGCATAGAAAGGGCAAAAGGACCACCTACACAGCTGGAAAATAACACTTGGGCACATAAAGTAGAATAGAACTCTGCTCTACATGTCTTTCCATCCACGTTAGTTTGATCACGTAACTCCCCTTTTTAGTGGCTGCACTAGCATCGTATATTAGAAGCATTACCAGTGATAGTTGTCAGCAAAGTTCCCTCTAAAGTGCGCACGTGTGCGGCTGTGCATAACTAAAAGTGTGGCTGCACACAGCCTTGTCAAGGCCACACACCAGGAGAGGTGGGGTCGGGAGCCTGGCGCAGGCTCCCCGGCTCTGGGGAAGTGCTCTGCTCCCCCACATCAGTGCCGGGGAGTGGAGCAGAGCCCACGCTAGCCCCACCCCAGCCTCCATCCGTGCCTTGCCTCACCTTGGGGAGGACCCGCTGCCTGCCCTGAGTGAGGCTCTGCTGGCTCCAGGACATAGCTCCCTCCCTGGCATCACCTCGGGGAGTGAGGAGGCACGTGGTGTCAGGGCTGGGAAGCAGAGCAGTGTCAGGCATTGGTCATATTTCTGTCTCTATAGATTTTCCTGATGGTGGTAAAGCTTTTGGCACCTAACACTAGCAGTAATTATTACACACTGTTAGAGTGCATTGTGCTCCCTCTGTATGCTTGGTGTCAAACAAAAAGAGAAGAGGACATAGTCCTTGAATGCAGGAGCCAGGAGTTTAAATGGGCAGACAACATATCCCACTCTGGGAGAGCTAGATGAAAGGAACAGTTCATAGTGCTTGGTTCAGGTATACTTTTTATATGGCAAGACTTTGGTGGGGGATATTTCAAAAGGAGATGTTGGTCATCTGATAAACCTGGGTTGGGAGGGCGTTTGCTTTCTATCCATGCAGGCCATGTGGAAGAAGACTGTAAAGGAAGAATTGGAAAAGTGGTAGGCTCTGCTAGTGCAGTGAGGGAGGTGAGAAGGATGTGACAGGAAATTAGATGGGGAG